CATTTACACTTCACTGAAGTCTTCCAGATGACTTAAGCTAGGACATAGGTTGGCTGATGCTAGCTTTTTTCAAAAAACCTACCCGTTAACTGTACTAACATACAGAATAACATAGTGAGGATACCTGCTACTTTCTGTAGTCTTGTTAATTTTGGAGAGCTATGTAGAGAATAAGTTACTGCCAGGAATGATTGAGTTGAACCCTTAATGACTTTCATGTTACCTGAAATAAATCCTTGTGTAACTTTTATCCCTTTCTGACCTAACGTATAAGGGCTGTCCTCATAACCTTGAATAAAATCAAATACAGGCCTGAATGAGAATTTGACACAGCTAGGGCTAGAAGGGAAACCCAGCTGTGTCATACAACTGCAGTAACCTTTGTTTTTTAATTATTCTTGCCCAACATAATAACATTCACTAGCAAACATTTCCTTAGCTGGTCTTATCCCAAAGAACTTATGGAGTGAAAAACAAGAGAAGAAAACAAGAGTTACTGTCTTGACTCTAAAAAAGTGACTGTTGAAGAAACAGAAGAGGTTGGTGGCAACTAAGAAGAAAACCCTTCTCTTGATAATTTGAAGCTAAATACCATAACCATAAGTCAAGTCTTCCTGTCAGCCAAGTGGTGAAATGTAATACCTACCTAAGTCTTCTGAGGTCTTTACTGAAGCAATTTCATACTGACATCAGTGTCAGACTGTTTGTATAAGATCTGAAGATAAAGGTCTCCGAAACTGGCTTGAGTGGAATGATATTGAAATATCTTACTCATTTATTTCAATTAGATGCTCTGCAATCACTTGGTTTAAAATAAAAGAAAAATATCTAAACATAAACACAGTGGGTTTCAATGTGTGGCTTTACATTGACGTGTCTTGGAAAGATAACACTCCCGTCCTCAGATATCCCAGGTAAGTAATAAGCAGCTTCCTCCCATCTTGAAGCTGCAGAGATCACTATCTTGCCATGCTTAAAACCACACCTGCAAAGTATCTAAGGAAATTAGTAGCTCTCTTACTCTGGCCAGGAAAAAGAGCCAGTGATACTGGCTTTACTGTATGATATCTTTATTCAAACTCGCAGTGGCTCAGGAGATAGGTAAGAGGATATAGAACCTTTTGCTTTTCTGAAACAGGTTTAGATCTTGATAGCCAGGATGGTTCATGTATAAGTTCTGTTATCATCTGACTGCCACTCAGACAGACGACTAGTTGGAGTCCTAATACCGTCAGGTTGGCTGAAAATGTTTGGTCAGAAAGCATTCAAAGATCTAAAGCAGTTTCGAATTAACTGTGTTGTTTTGCTCAGAAAGAATGGGGTGGGGGGAAACAGTGAAAAAATAGAAATGTTTTATTTCAAAATTAAATGTTTCAGTTTTGAAAGGTCTCCAAATCTGGCATTTCTGAAGCTTTGCTTTAGAGCGTCTAGTTTCATATGGCAATGCTGAATTAAAAAATGGAGATCTAGTTGAATAAAGTTTTTTTTGGGGGGGTTATTTCTCACAGTGGTTAAATAACCTGGATAAAAATTAGCTTGGGGATGAGCTAGGGAAAAAATACTAATTTTTGTTCCCTGATTTCTGAGAATATTTTGAAAATTTTTGGTTTCAATTTGACAATAGACAATTATTTTCTCGGATTACTGTAATTTTTCTAACCTAGCTACTGAGCTAAATAAGATACAAACTGATTTGAGGCAAAGAGAAAGCGACTGTCATCTCTCATTATCAGTGTCTGAAAAAGAAGTCTCCACAAAGCAGCACAGTCTTCCACCTCCATCTCTCAATGGTGTGGCTGCATCTAGCCCTAGGAAGGTCCATCACTTAATTCTACACAACCACTTCCATGAAATAAATAAACAAATGTTCTTATCCAGAATGATAGCAGAGTTAAATTTATATAGTATTTGCCATCCTTGCTTTTGAAGCTGTTAGGATCAAGCACAAGAGCACTATGAAGACAGTGCTTCACTAAGGGCAGTTCTCTGCACACCAAAGCTGAGACATGTTTGTATGTAATTTTGTGGTGCTGTTCCCATTGCTGGGGTAAATAATAAACACCATTAAATGAGCCCTTAGTACCTTTTGGTAGTTCTGTCTCACTTAGCTTTTAAGGTTATGCCAGCAGTAGGATGATCCAAATCGCAGCCATTTAGAGTTGCTATCACTCTACTGCTTTTATCTGACAGCTTGGCTGTGACTCTGAGTAGCTTCTTGCACGGGGCTGTTAGTGAGCAGCCCCCTGGGTAAGCTGCATGCAGCTGAACACTGTATTAATTAACTTGCATACTGGGAGCAGCATGGGCTTGCATTCCTTCCATTCTGATTCTGTTTCACATACACAGGTAGTGTATGAAGCAATTTAACCTCAGAGTAATTTGATATGTTTTCTTATCTCTTCCCTCCCCCGCTCCATCTTATTTCCAAGTACTTTCTCAATATTAATTCAGAAAGGAAACAAGATTAAGTCAAAAAGGTGGAATGAGACCAGCTTAATTAACCTGTACAATCTGAAATCCCTTTTCCCTCTGTCTCCTGAACAGCCTTTTACAGACTGAAACTGGAGATACCGTTTTACATATTCTGAATCTAACTCCACTAGTATAAGTCTAGCATGACTATGTCCTCCTTCTAAAAAGGGGAGGCGGAGGACTTTCTGTGCCGCCTACTAGATACTGCCTACTGTTTAACTTGTTCACTAAGGTGCTGTGCTGTGCTGTCTTTGCCTTAGTTTTGTTCCTTCCTTGGTTTTGCAGTTGACTTTCTTTGTCTTACTTTCCCCATGCTGCATTGTTTTTTGTGTCTGCAGTAAAGCCTGACTTCACGTAGCCCATTTCCCTCATGTCCAGGAGGAAATGGACGTGGTACTTGTCAGCGTGCTTGTTGACAAGCAACACAAGATGTTTTATGTATTTTGGCAGTGCTGATTTACTGGAAACATTGACATTTTGGAGCAGCTTTTGGAAAAATTTGTTCCAGAGCTCTCCAAAATAGCTTTTGCACCTTGATTTGAAGACATTCTGGGAGCTTTTTTTCCTTCTTTCCTGTTCCATTAAGACCCGGGTCTCTCTGCTGCAGCTGTTCTCTATTTAATGTGTTGCTCTGTTTCCAGGCAGCCATACCCCTCTTTGAGGGGAGTTCATTTTTCTCTGGCTGTTTTTCCATTTGCCTTCCCTTTAGGAGGTAAATTTGTCAGCCTACTATTTTGGTTTCTCAGTTCACTACAGCAACAGCAGCAATATGAAGGCAGAAAATGAAAACTTCACATGAAGAAGTGATTTTCCCCCTTTTCCTCTGCTTTTTTCTTATCTCTGGAAATGGGATGCTGCACACTCCTGTGTCCAAGGAAGCATGGAGAAGAACGTTTGCACTGCATTCTTGACTGCTGGGAAAAATGTCCAAGTGCGGCTGTCAAAACAGTGTTACTGCAGAAGCACATCATAGAATCATAGAATAGTTTGGGTTGGAAAGGACCTTAAGATCATCAAGTTCCACCCCCCCGCCATGGGCAGGGGCACCTCACACTAAATCACTCACATGGTTAATCGCACTGAACCCCAGATTGCTTTCTGATGAGTTTGGCTTATTTTTCTGTGGGTTTTGCAGCTGCCCTTTGATTTGCAGCACATACACAGCAGACCTTTATTTGAGATACCTTCCTTATTATTTCAAAGATGGCAACCTACCTAGGCACTCCAGTTCTAACCCTGCTGCTTGGGTAAGTGTGCATCCAGTCCTCACCTCCAGGATGGTGGCTGCATTGCCAGCAGAGCAGAGTCTTTGGAAATGTCAATTTGAGGTGTTGCTTGTCATTTCCATAAGCCCAGGGGCATTTGACTGGAGCTGATTTTCAACTGGGGACCGATTTTTGTGGAAAATACTGTAAAAAGTGTTCAAAGGTGATCCGTCTGAGGTTCAGGAGAGATCTAAAGCCTAAGATTCCAGGAAACCTATTTTCCTAAATAATTGTTGTGGTTGCATTTAAATTTTATTTCTTCTCTTGCCAAAAGCCAATCTCATAACTGCTATTCAATGAAAATTAACTCTTGACACTCTCCCTTTCCATAAGTGTACACGGTCCCACGGTCCACTGGTTTGGTGAGGCTTGGTCCTATCTCATATTGCAGTCCTCCAGTGAGGACATATCTTACTGCAGACTTATGGTGGCCTCCAGCCCTTTTCCAAGCCTGGGTCTGCAGGACATCCAACACGAAGTTACAAGTGTGGAATAAGGTAAAGCCAAAACAGATGGCCTGGTGCAATGTCCTGATAGGCACTCCATGGGTTGTCCATCAGGAGTCCACAGTCAGCATGGGAGAGGTGAGGGAAGCCATGCCTGCACCATCTCCAGAGGCTGCCTTAGGACCCACTACTGTCACCACCAAGCTGATGGGGGAATAGGATGGGAATATGCAAGATGTCAATGTTCTTCTTATAAGAAGTGTGTAGAGGGGAAGAGCCCAGAAGGTATGCAGCTTTTCCTTTCCCTGCCAAAATTTGCCTCAGTTTCACCAACATTGGCCAGGTAGGTACTTCAAAGTGAGGAGATTTACTGGCTGGCAGAAAGATTTCCAGTAATATATTGGAACAAGTCCCTTTTGTAGGAAGAGTTGAAAGGAGCAGTCAGAAGTGGGTTGATCTCCCGCAGGAATTTTTATTATTAAGGTTTGGCTATTCCCTCCCTTTGATTGTTTTTTATTTTTTGGAGTATTTTGTGGAAGAACGTAAAAACTATTGAAAATTCATTTACTGACTAGATAAATGGAAGAGATGGGGAGTGCAGAAGACTTTCTGAATATGGCAGAATCTACCCAAAAACCTGGGGTAATAGCAAGTTGTGATAGGTAATAAAGTGACAGGCAAAGGTGTGGTAACTGCAGCTTTCCTCTCCCTTCTGACACTGCAGATCTGTCCCTCTCAGACATAGGCAGACTCTGCTCCGCACAGGGGAGGCAGAGGGTGGAGCTCAGCGCCTGTATAAATTATATGTGTCCTTCAGGTTATTTCAGCCGCAACAACAAGCTGTGAGCCTGTTTGGCAGCTGACGGATCTGTTACTCAAATTGGGGTGCCTGTTGCTGTCGCCATCTTGCATGCCATGGGGAGCCCACCAGCCAAGGTAAGAGAACTGCAGCTCCGTGCCTTGCTGTGACCCGGCACCTTGCCATTGGGACCTCCCTCCTCCAGGTCTTGAGAGCAAACTCCTTCCTCTTTACATCTGCTGACACACAGAGTGGTACGATGCAGGAGGGTCATCTTGGACTTCGTGAACTCACCGCTTTCCTCTTTCACCATGTAGTAACTAACATGCAAGTGAGCTTTCGTGACAACAGAGACTAGGTGGCCCTTTGCTTTTATCGTGAAGTGTGCATGCTGGCATGAACACCGGGGAGGAAGAGAGGGCTGGCCTTGATGAGTTTATCTCACTGTAAAATGAAAGTGCGTTACCCCTACTACGTGCTCTCCTCAGGAGCTTGCCCCAGCTGAAAACCCAACATCTTTTTCTAGCAACAAAGCATAATTTATCTTACTTTAGCTGCAGGGGAGAGTTCTGTTGAGCCCTTTGGCTGATTTAGCTATCTTTGACGTAATGTTTAAAGCGCCTGCAATTCTAGTGGAAGTATTTCATGTCTGGACTTGAGTTCTGTAATAGGAAGTTCCATTCAGAGATCTTAACTGATACTTAACATAAATCAACAGAATTATTAGCTGAGAGTTACTTCCTCATGTATGTCTTCAAAAAGGAATGGATGCAGTGTCTGAAATCCAAGATACGTGTTACTTACAACTAACCTTTCTCTATATATCAAACCCCATGCCAAATTTTGCAACAAATAAAAGAAATATGGGCATTCATGGGTTTTAAATACAGTAAAAAAAAACAAAGTTACATGCTATGACTTCTAGAGAATCGTGAATCATTAAGAATGAAGAATACTACTTGTACGTGTGTCATGGTAATATTTGCAAGTGAAATCAAAGATCCAGGAAAATATCAGTAGCTTGAAGAGAAAGCTGAAACGATAGATTGACAATATTCAAATGTTGGATGCTCAGGGCAAATGACATAAATGCAATGTACTTTGGATAAAATTTGTATCTAATCTATCTACCTCTTAGATCCAGAGGTATCTATCTGTCTTAGATATAAAAGCTATCACTATTAAATGCAAATGTTGTATCTGATAATATAATTCTGGATCTGATAGATGAGTCGATAGCTCAGATATAATTTTATCTAGAAAGTCTCAATTACAGCAGAAGTTCTTGCATTTGACCCTAATGCTGTGAGTACCATTCTGTGAGTATAGACGTAGTCCTTGTTAATAGGCAACACCATCAAAAGGTTAGAGTGAGACCTTAGCTTCAGGTCAGAAAGCTTCTATTCCCAAGGAAGGAAATTCATTCAGTACAGCCCGTAGCTCTGCCATACAGCCAGGCAAATTAATTTTTCATGAATGTAAATTAGTAAATAGATAGGAAATCAGAACAGAGTGGGTTTTGTTTATTTTTTTATATTAAAAAACAAGGTGTTTAGAAAAGTGTGGACTCTTTGAGTTATTTAGGAAGACCTACAGAGAAGACTATGTAGTATTCTACTAACACTGTCTGGTATTCCAATTAATTTTTTGCTGTTTAAAGAAAGCTACCAAGTTGGCACAGAAGTGATGGACAGTAGTATTTTACAACTTGCTGGGAGTGCTTTTGATATTCATAGCAGGGTCTTTTCTTCTGCTCAGACAAGATTAATCACTCTTTAGTAGTTTTATTTTGTGACCCATGGAATCATTTTTATGTGATAAAATACTCAGAAATAGTTACTAACTGTTCAACCTCGAATGATAAGATTTTGGATAACCGTGATTCCCAAGGAAAACACAGCTTTTGTGGTCATGCTCTCTCCTTCTGTTCTCTCTCCTGGTTTTGCATTCGCTTTTCCCACCAGAACTTTGCATTCCTCTAATTTTGAAGAAAATAGGCAGCTGATGGGAAGGAGAAATTGCTAGCAATATTCTCACTGATGGAGGGGATAAGAATATCAGTCCATATTAGATGTTAAAGAATCTATGTGTAAGAGTGCTTTGGAACCAGGCTGATCACAAAACTTTTTTAACCTTATTTTGATAAATTGCCAAGTTGTAGTTGAAACAAATCCTTAGGATCTAAGATAAAATAAATAGTAAGAATATGCCAAATGATTGTGTGAGATCTTGTGCATAAGATATTATACAGCTTCTGGTACACCACTGGAGGAAGAAAAAGTAATCCATGAAAGGAAGTAATTATTCATATCTGAAAGACATCTATAAACCCAAGTGATAAATCCTACAGCTATCTACATGTCAAAATAGCGAGGGCAAACTCTTCACGTAAAACTTCATATACCTTGGTGTTATCTCCTCTCAGAAAATTGGTTACATTTGGTGCAAGGCCATCAAAATTGGCCTTCCAAGTACAAACCAAGAATTTTTGTTTTAAGAAAATAAAGAAAATTAAAGAAAGAGAAGAGAGAAAAGAGAAGAGATATAAAAGAATAAAAGCAAACCAAAGCAAAGCAAAGGAGAGAAAACAAATTAAAAAGAAAGCAGATGTGGCGATGGGAGTACGTTCCCAGACTGTCCATCTCTGCAGAAGCTGCCCGCTAGAAGACTAACTTTCTAGTGAAGGCAGCTATGAGATCTTGTTCTAGGAGCAGGATGGAGAGGCAGTAAGGAGTGAAATCAAACATAGGAGCTGTTGGGAGGTTTTTCTTCTTTTTCTGCCATCCAAAGACCATCTCAGTAGGCTCCTCATTATTAATGAGCTTTGAGAAGATTTCATACTCTCAAAGTTGTCTTTTTGGGATGAAACCTTGAAGTGACCAACTGCTTGCAGACAGGAGAATTATGTATCCTCCTAAAGCTGACCAGCATATTACTGCTTTCTGGAAGCCAGTCAGTAGGTCAGTAAAGGTGACCTACAATCAAAGAGATGTTAGCAACAGATGTGAATTTTCAGTTTTTTTAGGTTTGACACAGCTATGGCAATTCTACATGTTAGTTTTATCTCCTGTTCATTGAATTTTCCATATTTTAAACCTGAAATGGTTCCCCCAAAACTGTCTTTGAGAGTTTTGAAATGGAGTTTAGTGCTAAATGTTATCAAGTGAATAGAAGTTTGGTTTTTCTGTTTCTGTGTGGGGTTTTTTGTTTGTTTCTATTTTGTTATTTGGGGTTTTTGGGGGTGGTGGTGTCATTTTCTTAGCCTACTCTTTGGGACTCTGGGCATGCTACTATTTATTGGTCTGGGGTGTTATGCAAACATACACAGGCAGCCATCATTGATGTCAATGTGGCACTACTAATTTTCCAGCAAAAATGGAATGATGCACTTCTGGAAAAGCTACCTTTGACTTGATATTTACAGAGGGAGTTTGTTCCTCTGTGTGCCTATGCAGGAAACTTTCCTCCAGGGAAGTGAACTAAAGAGAGCAAGACCAGTACAGCTGCAAGACTGTCGAGAGCTGTCTGGATATGGTCTGTGCTTATCAATTTGCATTAATAATGAAATTACACATTTCTTGTCATGTTATGAAAATAGCAAATTACTTCTCTAATTATTTTTAATAAAGGGTATTCTGAAATGCTGGCAGTTTTAGGCAAGGATGTTATTTGAGACCACTCAAATCAGATCCAAACAGTCTGCTATGGAACACTGCAGAAGAAAAATTAGCTGTGCCTTTTTCTGATGAAAACAAAAAGAATAAGCCCAATTCTAAACGGTTATCACAGCCTGAAGTAAACTGCAGGCTTGGGAGTGGGATGGCTTCTGTTTTTCCCTAAGTATTTGCACATAATGTTTATTATGGCCACATTTACCTATCTGAACCTCTTTTTTATCCTGCACAACACAAGGACTAAGCTGCAACAAATCAGAAATAGTGAACAGTCATCTTTGATGTAGGCAGATGTTGACATGTTTAAGGGAAGTGATTGCTGTTGAAAGGGGAAAAGAGGAGGAGTGAGGTTCTCTGGTTCTAGTGGGAGAGGATGAAAACACGACACCAATGATAACTGTGAGTACTCTGATGATGAACTGCAGATGAACCATTTTTATAAACAATTACATTTTCATCACAAAAGGTTCAAAGCAACTTTGTACAACATCCTTTTCTCCTTTAAAGGCAGACTCTGAGCATGCTTTGGCTTCTGTTGAGCAAGGGGGAAGTGATTACAAAATAACACAGAATTAACATATTAATTAAAAACAGTCAGCTCTGTAATTGTCTACATAATCCAATACTTCATGTTAATGAGACCCACTAGGAATGCTGACTGAGTGTTCCGGTTGGGAGTATTTGCCCAGGAAAATTAAAGTCAAATTCTTTCAGTGGCCAATGGAATAATATGGAGGTGTCCCAGCTGGAACTTGTAATGTCTGTAATGCATTAAATGCAGAATGTTTTAAATTTATCAGTTTCAAATTGGGGGAAAATGTAACAGAAATAGTTCTTGTCATGCAGGAACAAATATGTCTTACATTTTTATACAGGAATTGTTTCAATCAACCATTAAAAGACCAAGAAACAGAGTAATCTGTGATTTGGTAGGTTTAAGAACTCTGCTCAAGGTGACTCTTGAATATTAATCTGAATTTAAAAAGGATGTCACTTTAAATGTGACATCATACAATTTAATATTAAGCCTATTTGAACGTGCCAAATCACAGTTGGAATGGCTTCCATTTGATGTAATGTAATTTACCTCTAAACAACACTGAATTAAACTGAATTAAGGCTATTCTCATCTCTAATAAACTTGCCCAGTTGTCTCCACCCCATTTTAAAAGAATTTCATATTAAGTGTAGTGTGTGACTCCTTCTATAGAGAAGTTCAGTTTCCCCAGCAGTTTGTATCTCCAAAGTTAATAATTTCAATGTCAGGAACATTAATCATGGTGCTAACTTTCAAAATGAAGTTGTTGAATTATTTTGTTGCAATGTAATGAAATAGATAGTCTCATTTAGGCAGATATGATGTTTCAATTGGTATGTAGTTTAAGCTGCCATTCAAACTGATGCAACACTACCAACATGGTGAGGCCCTGTTTTTATTTATTTATTTTATTTACTGTATGCTATTATTGCTGACAAGCTGTGCTTATATGCAAGAAATATGTAAAACAACAGAAATTTAAATGTTCCAATTTGAAAGAAGAAGAAAATATTTTTCTGCTTATAGTATTATCATGTGTTTGTGTATGTGTGTTCATTCAGGCTTATCAGAATGTCTTTTGAAAATGACAAATAATTTCTGACCAGCTTAGGTTGGGAAGCTTAATTCTTTGTTAGGGTTAGGGACATGTAACTTGAAATAAGTGTTACGATGATAGCTTGTGTATGATAGAAATAAATCTCATATATGAAATGGAAGGGGTTCCATTCCTGTTGATATTTACAATATACCTAATGATGTGGGATTCTGTGATATGCCTCCAAAGCAGGGCACTTCTTTCATCATTTGAAAGGTCTCTGGTCCGTTCTATGGTCTGTTCACTCAAAGTCAATTGTGCATTCCTCTAGATGCCTTTTGGTGAGCTTGGCCTACTTACCAGTGTTATACAAACCTAGTTGGGATATAAAGTCAGAAGTTTTTAGAGCATTTTGGTAACTAGCACGTCCTCATCTAGTGTCAGTGCTGTACCTCGTATTGTCTTCCAAAGGCTCAATTTTGACCTTCCTATGGCACAGGACTTACAACAGATTGGCAATACACCCATCACTATGGCTATCCATACTTCAGGTTGTATGAAAATAGGGTGATTACGTATTGTTTTTGTATTCTGAGCTGGTAAATCTAATTGCATTTGTTTTCTCTGCAGATGAAGGTCTGCCCCATCCACATGCTTTCTGTAAGAATCATTCAAGCTAAGAACATCAAATCAAGAGACCTGTGTGAGTTGTGCTTTGATTGTACTTTTAGTCACCTCCAGAGTTTATGCAGTGAGAAATGTTCCTGAGCTTGAAGGTATAAAAGCAACTTACATAAAGCACAACAACAGAAGTACTACTGCCAGGGCTATAATTAGATTAAATGCCTGAGGTGTCATTAGGCTGGAGGACATATCTAGTGGCACCTTGGGGAACTGGTAAAAATGAAGCCTCCCAGATGAATTTCTGGGACAACAAGAGAAGGTAGGCCTTATGAGGATACTGCAATTAGTAAATCTGCTTGAAGTTGTTTGGTTTTGATGTTCATGATTGATATAAATCCTATAATGGACTGGAATTTTGCCACATAAGGCATGTATTTAGGGACCTTTTATAGCAATATATCAATTACACACGATAATCGAAGGTAAACTAGAGAATTTCAAGCTTTCTGAAGTACAGTATCATTCGGGGTATTTGCTGATCTCAGATAACCAGCCATGTTAAATTATATTGATAGTTTCTGAATCTTCAGATCCAGCCCTAAGCACGTTCTTGAGCATGCAGGCAAGCCAGCCTTTTTTGTGTACCTTTGTGTTCAACTTTCTTTAACTCATTATCCCTCACAGCTTCCTGTGTCTCCTAAGGTGTACTATAGAACAGCCATTCAGCTGCCAGTTTTGCTCAGGTCTCCTATGGGTTCCTCAGCCAGGACAAAGACCTTGAATTGCTCCTTCTTGCACTCTTAAAACCTCTGGTGTGTGTATTCCTCTAGTGAAAAATGACATGTTCAACAAAAAAAGTGTTACTTTACAGCTGAGACCCTTCGCATCTCACTGTGCAGGGCCAAGCACAACCTTGGCCAAGCCTGAATGCAAGGGAGACCACAGGGAGTTGAGTAACTGCCTGATGAAGTGCTTCCTGTACTCCTGTGGCAAATGCCATGTAGCAACATCCAGAGGTGGACACTAGAAAGGTGGTAGTATGACAAGGCCTGTATTTCTGAGTTTCAATGATCTCTTCTATCTACTCTATTGAAGGGACAGTTCCATTTTCCTGCCAAAACCTTGCGGGGCAATGTTATTCACTGCTTGATACCAGTCTGAAGTATTTAGGCATCTTGGGATGCAGTACACATCATCAGTCGAGTCCAGACTCCAGCTCTGAAAGACAACACCTTGGAGATTTCCTTTCACACCGTTGTCAAGCTTCACAAAGTAAATGTGCTTTCCCAACCTGGCTTTTCCCAAAGGATGGCTGCTCGAGGGACTGACTGCACTAACCATAAGGAGTAGATGTAGGCTGGAAGTGAGATGAAGATTTCCAAGTTGCTTATGCCCTCATGTTCTTGGGTCCACACCAGCCTTCAGCTGCAACAGATCTTCCCTAGTACCTAACCCTTCTAGACAGCCATTGTGTCCTTTTTGCATGGCTGGATTGAGCAACAGTCTTCCTGATCTTCTCCATAATACGCATTCTTTTCCTGTAATTATCCTAACAGCCCTTTTTGGTGCTAGCTCTAGTTTTAGTTAAACGTTTTTAACATCATTGACTGGAATCACAAGGAATGTTGCCCGATGAATGGTCAGTGGGGTCTTTCTTACCTCTTTCTCTTGACATGGGAAACATGGCTCTTAGTGTACTTTGGGTGCATGTGTACATTTGCAACTTGTAGTTATTTACCCAGGAATTAGAGGGTTTTCCTTGGTTGCTTCCAACTGATGGTCTATTTATGAAAAAAAAAGTAGTAATATTTGTTAGCCTCCAGAATCATGGCCTTGCCCTGCTTTTTATCTATAACATTGGCATCAGGTTTTTAATGTTTCTCTGCTGCAGTGACTGCATCAGACTGCTATGTGCGCTTGTGGCTGCCGTCTGCTTCAAATCGAAAGCTTCAGACCAAAACCATCAAGAATTCTGACAACCCTATCTGGAATGAGACTTTCTACTTTAGGATCCAGAGGGAAGTTGAGGTAGTAAATAAATATGTCGCTATTTTGAATAGGTGAGAATTCTTGGTTGACACTATGTCAATCAACTGTGCTAATTAAGAAAATGCTTGTGTAATAGAATTTGCAGCTGATTGGTTAGGACACAGAACTGTTGGAACAAGTCCAGAGGAGGCCATGAGGATGATCAGGGGACTGGGGCACCTCCCGTATGAAGATAGGCTGAGAAAGTTGGGGCTGTTCAGCCTGGAGAAGAGAAGGCTGCATGGAGACCTCATAGCAGCCTTCCAGTATCTGAAGGGGGCCTATAGGGATGCTGGGGAGGGACTCTTCATTAGGGACTGTAGTGATAGGACAAGGGGTAATGGGTTAAAACTGAAACAGGGGAAATTTAGATTGAATATAAGGAGGAAATTCTTTCCTGTGAGGGTGGTGAGGCACTGGAATGGGTTGTCCGGGGAGGTTGTGAATGCTCCATCCCTGGCAGTGCTCAAGACCAGGTTGGACGAGGCCTTGGGTGAGATGGTTTAATGTGAGGTGTCCCTGCCCATGCAGGGGGATTGGAACTAGATTATCTTAAGGTCTTTACCAACCCTAACTATTCTATGATTCTGTGATTCTATGATCTGGGCTATTTTGGGCTAATTTAGAAAGAGCTTTCCCTTCACTGGTTGTAAGGAAAGAGTAGAGGAGTATCTGTGAATTAGCAAATTTAATCCTACCCTAACCTGTGTAGTTAAAAGAACTTTGGGAGTGTGTTCTTTGGGCAGGTTATCAGTATGGTGCAGAGCACTGATATCTTTTCTGTCTCAGAACAGTGGGACCTCTCTGTTACAAGTAGTTGTTTTTGATTTCATATGTTTCCCAAGACTGGGTTTAGTGATGGTGTTTCCCATTAGCAAACTCCTGAATGAAAACATGTTTCTTTATTCTTACTATTGTGCTAGCCAAGCAGCTGCAAAAGTCTATAACCCCTTTTTATTTCTGTGTGATAACAGCTCAATAAGAGTTCTTATTTGTTTTTTTTTCTACTCCCAGAACATCTTAGAACTGGCAGTGTGTGATGAAGATCCACTCACCAAAGATGACATGCAGTTCACAGTTCTTTTTAATGTTGCTAGAATCAGACCAGGGGAGACAATCCGTGAAACATTTGCTTTGAAACCAGAGGTAAGGATTCAGGAGACTTTACAGCAGCCTTCCAGTACCTTAAAGGGGCCTGTAGAAACACTGGAGAGGGACTTTTTATAAGAGCAAGTGGTGATAGAAAAAGGGGGAAAGGCTTTAAACTGAAAGAAGGAAGAGTTAGATTAGGCATTAGGAAGAAATTCTTCACTGTGAGGGTGGTGAGGCACTTACACACTACACTTGCCCAGAGAAGCTGCCCCATCCCTGGCAGTGTTCAGGTCCAGGTTGGACAGGGCTTGGAGAAACTTGCTCTAGTGGAAGGTGTCCCTGCCCATGGCAGGGTGTTGGAACTGGATGAGCTTTAAGGTCCCTTCCAACCCAAACCATCCTATGATTCTATGGATCTATGAAAACACAGAGAGAGATGGCAAGACCTCATTGTCCACATTAGCTTCTATGTTAAGTGGTATTTGGGTCTGCATAAACAGATATCCTTATATACCATTATCGGTATTTCATCAAAACAGATATAATTGTGCTGAATTTTTGTGACTTCATAAATCTCTTTTCACAGATTCAAAAAATGAAGCAGCTTCTCTTTCATGCCCAGCATCTCTGTGAGGCCAAAAACTGTTAACAGAGAGCATTTGTAAAAAGTCATTTTTATATTTTATAGTCCAAGTAAATAACTTCCTTACCTTTTGTCTTTAACTTTTGCCATGCTTAGAAGACACTTCCTCTTTAATGGCAAATCTAAGACAACCTTAAGACATGAAGACAATCCACTCAGTGCCTGAATTAAATGGTTCTTTCAGGCTTCTCCTATTGGTGGTCTTGCTGGGTTTCCTTCTAGGTGATTCAGATTTCTGTACCCATAGTAAAGGCTCATCTGTTCTGCTAACATCTTTGGTATTCTATTAAAGAGTCCATGAAAAAGAATTGTCCAGAGAACAAAGCTGGGGTCGGTCTGTGACAGCTCCAGGTCTTGTCTGAGCTGTGGCTGAGGTATTGCTACATGCTCATTGCAGGTAGGAAAGAGTCCATATCCAAAAGAACAGCTACTTCAAATGCTGAAAGCTGTTAACATGGATATTCCTTCTACCCTGCAGACTGGTGCCATGCACTTCTCAGCCAGTGGGTGAGTCACTGGGAAATATAATGATTCAGTAACCACCTCAGTACAGACTACTCTTGCCAACTTCATCTCTGCTGGATTCCATGCTCTGTACATGGAAATGACACTGGCCTTAGTCACTTTTGTTGCTGGGATTCAATGCCTTTCTCCTATGCACATCATGTTTACAGTAAGCCACTATATTTCTGCGTCAGTCAAGCTTTCCCTTGTGATTTTATCTTTGGAAATATGTATAGTTCTACAAGTCCCACAGTGGGAGAATATTGATCTTATGTGCTTTTGCATGTGGTTTCCATTGCAGTCTTGGCTTTGGAAAGAGGTAACACACAGCTTTTCTTGGTAACATTAGCAGCAGAGATGTCAGCCATGGAAGTGGTTTTTCTGTGTGTGTCTATACTGCCAAATTCTTTTAGCCTCCAATAATCCATATTTATTTTGCCTTTTAGAGGGAGACATGTACTAAGAAATGGGAAAGCTTAGAAGTGGAATTCTGGATGGAAAGAATGTGAGTAAAATTTCAGAGCTGAAAAGGTATAGATCTGCCAGGGAGTAATGATATCTCAGAGAAAGAGGAACTTCTTCCAGCTCTTCCTCCCAGCAGCAAGCTTAAGTTAGTGTCAAACTTTTTTACCTTAAGTTCCCCAGCTAGTTCTGTCATTCAGTGTATTTCATACAAAATTTACCTTCTGTTCGACACGTGTATCCTGATGGTGGAAATGTAGTAACATTGGCACAATGTGATAGCTTGGACACAAGGTACATGTAAAACTTAACAGAGGTGCTCTTCAACTTAATATTAATTGAACAATGCCTAGAAGACTATGGTGAAATTGAACACAGGACATTTGGTTAAACTTGAATAACAACAGTAATAAAATTAAGACCATCCCCCTTGAGGTGGTAATCAACGTTGTCTGGAGGAGTACAAACCCATTAACTTCATCTCTCTTCTAAACGCCATTACTAGTTTGGTTGGAAAAACAACCCTAAACTATACATTCTGGCGTACCTGAGCTTAGCATTACCCCAAAAAAGTAACATAGTCCAGTCAAAACTGAGTAATTGCATGGTAAATATGGCTTCTTATTCTTAGACATGGAAAAGCTGCAGAAGAAAATCACTGGTGTTCTTGGTTAATATCTTCCACAGTCAAACTCAGGGATATCGATTTAATTTGTCTATGAGAGGTACTACACCAAGAGATGGTGTAAGCGCCTCCTGCAAATGTGGATGCAGTCACAGGCAGATATATAAAAAGGACAGAATAAGATGCAGTGCTTGGAAACTGGACTGAGCAGATTGGGAGTAGATAAGAGGAACATCCTTCACCGTTCAAGTTATAAGGCATGTGGGGGGGTTCTCCACCCTTGGAAGTCAAACCTCCTTATTTATATTTAAATACATTTTATAGCTGAAATAAAAGTTTTAAGGCTGGAAGTGATGTTTGGTAAAATACCCCAGACTTTGCAGAAAGTCAAAGGTTACATACTACATAACTTTATTGGTCCTTTAAGATATATGAAAGCTCTTACGAATGTGTGTAGCAGTTGGGGTATTGACCTCAATGAGAGATGCTGTTAGTAGACTCTATAGATTCTCATAGTATTAAACAACTACACCCATTCAGTGACTGACCTAGGTCTTACAAGGTAAAATGTCTGGGACAAGACCTTCTATTACTTACCTTTGTGTTTTCTAGTCATACATATAGCTCAGTGGGAGCTAATTCTTATTTGCTGTTCATTTGTAATCAGTTGTAAATTATAATCTGGAACAGCCACAACTGTCTTTCCTAATAAGTATTTACAGAGTGCATTAATAGTAGTCTTTGCTTTCCTCGAGTCATATACTCATTTGTTAATAGTAGGACATGGCTCCACATAGACCTTTGTTCTGCTGTATCTTAACATATAGTTTTAAGCATTGGTATTTTTATGGGCTCTCCTGCCTTTCTTCTTGTTAGGCTACTATATTTTGGTTCACATGCTTAGCAGGTGATCATGTATTATGCCTTTTAGAAAGCAAATAGTGATACTAATGTAACTGTATTACATTGTAAGCAGGAAAGATCATAAAACTACTATTAAAAAAAAACCCAAACCAGATACTCACACAGCTTCTGTTTGTTTTCTGATTCTGTCTTTTCAGTCCTGGCCCTCCAGAGCACATAATTACCAATGATGTCCTAGTGGTAAGTTTCATACATGAATTTAGCTTGGAGTGACTTCTCCTTTGGTTTGAGTCTCTCCTCCTTCTCCCATCCATCTGACATTTCAGAAGCTACAATAATAGATAAAAGGATGGTATGCATTATAAAGCAAAAAATGTGGGACAATTCCAATTCATTTTGGCTTAACTGTTGCACTCCTAATTCAAGAATAGAAGCAGTGTTTCTTGAAGTCCTCAGGTTTTACAAATGTCAATATTTTGCCCATCTCTGGTTTGTTCATGTTGCAGAACACCACATTTGTTGATATTCAAAGTGAAAACTGCTTGTGTTTTGCATAATACAGTATGGCACTTAGCAGGAAAAACAGAGGTTATAAAAGGGATGAGTCTGTAGATTGTTCAGTATACTCATGTCTGAAAAGTTATCTCATATAACAGCTTTTTGGGAAATGAGTTTTTTAATAAAGAATTGAATTTTAATAAAGAATTTAATAGTCATTGAAACATAGAGTCCTCCTTTAGTGTTAGTCAGCATGGGGTACATTACCTATGTCCTTGGGCTGGCCCAGCAGCTAAGCAGTACAAAGTACTGTGTGTCAACCATTCCAAGACTGCACGTGACTTCCAGATGCTAGTCTTCAATACCCCTGAGACAAAGTGACACATATTCTTTTCTCTCCCCCCCCCCCCCCCCCCCATTTTCTGTGTGAGGCATAAGGGCTGTAATGATTGGCATGAGTTGTTCCTGAAATGCCTTGGAAAACTGTCCTGGCATGAGTTATTAAAGTTGAACTGGAATGACTCAGGTAGAGGGTAGGGTGGAATATAATCACAATTTCCCTGCATCAGGACCAGCAAGAAGATGCCTTGTAAACTAATCACTGCCACACTACACAGAAACTCATCATCAGGTGTTTTCCCTCAGCTTTCCTAAATAATTATCAGATATATGTGTAGCTGTTTGGGCAGCACTGTGTTGTACAGTATCCTGATTTTGGGATAACTTGAATGGGTATAACAACATCTGGCAATATACCACTGTATGGACAAACTAGTTCTGAAGGAGTGTAGCTGGGCTACTGTCCTAGGTTAATAAGCTCCAAATTTACTCTTGTGCAGCTGGATTGCTTCCAGCATTGAGAGCAGTTTAGTTGGCTCTACATTATAGGTAGTGTTTATTTGCATGATGTTTCATTATTTGCAGCAGATGTGGCATTTCCTATCTTTACAATTTTCCACTCCTGTTTTTTATAGTCCCGTGATGTCTGCTGCTTGGAAGTGCAAGTGGACATTAATGAAAGCAGGAAATATTTGAAAGGTACGCTGATTTCTCTGTCAACTGAGGCCATGACCGTATCAACCCTATTGTAGTCATTCAGATCCAGGTGGAGGCACTTTAGGATACAGAGATGACTAAGGATGTTCTAAAGACAGTAAAATGTAATGGAGTGAAAGTCCCTGAACTGCCTCTATTTGTAACGCTGATCTCTGCATCTTTTCCTAGTCTGGACACAGTAAACTTTGCTGGTGGAAGTATGATGGAGTGCTGACTCTGGGAGCACCCCAGGCTTTGTGATAAAGGCAGGAGCACCAGTTTCTGTGCTGTAGGAGACTTGCCAGTGTGGCATCTTACACAGTTACCACAGAGAATGACTCCAGAGTAGTTTGCTGACTATGTTCCTATTTTGCCTGAACAGTGGTATTATTATCTGAAAAAACCTCTTTTCCCTAGAGGGTAAAAATCTCGTGCTTACGGTGCCTGAATCTCATGAGAGAATACAGAAAACTACAGAGGACACAGACACTTTCTACTTCCATTGTGTGAAGGCTTGGGAGCCAGTTCTGAAAATCAGGCTGCAGGTAATGGAGGCTGCACAGTACCACTGTTCATACTGCTTGCTCTTTTCATTGTCACCAAAACAGTAAAGAACTGAATTGTTTCTATTCTGTGAATAAACCCCATGTTTTCTGTTCTCTGTAGAAAGTTTCTGATAAGGAAGATGAGGATAGCAATTTAAGTGACACCTTAACAGTTCCACTGAAATTTCTCCCTGTTGGATATAAAGTGAAAATAACCCTTCCTGTAAGAAATGTAAGTGCTTCGCCATTTATATTTTTTTGAGAGAAGAGTACCCCTCAGTATTTAACACCAAAATGTTTAAAGAAAAGAATAAATTCCTAAGCCTGAATGACAATTTTGTGTAAATACAAGTTTTCTCTGGAAAAAAAAAGGTTAGTTTTCTAGTGAAATACCAATTTTCTTTCGATAAAATCTATAATTCGAAATTCATCCTGGTCAGTTTGAGATGCTGTCCTTACACAGTTAAAGATGAATATTCAGTACTCCTAGCAAGGCTTTGGGAAGCCCCAGTGCTCTTTATCAAGCCTGGATGGTTAGCTCAGTCCATATACCTACATTTAATGTGGCTAAAGTTAGGTGAGTGGAATCTTACCATTGGAGAACAATTCAGATCACAGAATGGTTTGGATAGGACCTTAAAGATCACCTAATCCAACCCTCTGCTGTTATGTTCTTGTGGGTACAGTCATAATCATAACTGGTGTTTAGTTGCTCTCCTTCTCTTTCCCAGTATAGTCTATGCAGGGTGGTAGTGGTGGGGTATTCCAGGTAGCACTGAAAGTCTGGATTTCAAACTTCTCTTTTTCCCAGTGATTCACATTCCTGCTTTCAATGTTTTCTTTACAGAATGTGCCACTGTATTTGTACCTCCAACTAAATGATTGGTAAGAGGACTGGGTTCTTCTTCTCCAAAAGTTTTATTGCTCTTTGAACTATGACTTCTAGAACAGTGTCCTTTACTTGGATACAAAGAATGCACATGACTGGGGCAAACCATTATGATAATTAAGTCATCATTAAAGAGTCACCACAACAGATCAAAGTTAAATGTCCTTGGGGCAGAAGAGTCACACCAAGATGCAGAAAACCCCCACCAACCTATGAGAGTTTCAAACAGTGAGGAACTTAGTCACTGAGTGTCCTTTACATCAAAGAACCGAAGACTGAGATTGAAGGCTTCTTCAAAAGGGACACAGAAGCAGGAAGGCAAAGGGAAAAAGGAATTTGAAATAAGCAAAACATTCAGAGCCCATGCATTACTCAAACCACACAGGTGCTCTTAAGCAAACAGATTTGCAGCTCTGGTGATATCAGTAGAAAGAAGGACAAGCTAGGGAAGATGAAAAGTTGCACTGTAAAATAATGAGACAGACAACACATAAACCGAAATTATTTGAATATATTTTTCATTGTACTTTTTCTGTATAAATCTGTGGTACAAATCCCCAGGAAAGACCTTGTTAGGTTCAAGTCACCCTTTGCTTAGAAATTATGTGAAGCAGAAATAGAAAGGATTCAGCATACAAAGACACAAAGAAGCCTTTCTTTTTTCATATTTGCTGCCCTTAGCTGGCAGTAAAACTTGCACTGAAACATTAGAAAATAGAGACCATGTAGAAGCAAAGACCATCTTAAAAATCTGAATGTGCGCAAGTCCGTGGGTCCTGATGAAATCCATCCGTGGGTCCTGAAGGAGCTGGCAAATGAAGTTGCGAAGACGCTGGCCATCATATTTGAAAAACCATGGCAGTCAGGTGAAGTTCCCGACGACTGGAAAAAGGGAAATATAACCCCCATTTTCAAGAAGGTGAAAATGGATGACCTGGAGAATTACAGACCAGTCAGTCTCACCTCTGTGCCTGGCAAAATCTTGGAGCAGATTCTCCTGGAAGGCATCCTAAGGCACATGAAAAACAACAAGGTGCTTGGTGACAGCCAGCATGGCTTCACTGAGGGGAAATCCTGCCTGACCAATTTGGTGGCCTTCTATGATGGGGCTACGGAACTGATGGACAGGGGTAAATCAGTTGATGTCATCTACCTGGACTTGTGTAAAGCGTTCGACAGTGTCCCACACGACATCCTTGTCTCTAAATTGGAGAGACATCAATTTGATGGATGGACCACTCGGTGGATAAAGAACTGGCTGGATGGCCACACACAAAGAGTTGTGGTCAGTGGTTCAATGACCGGCTGGAGACCAGTAACAAGTGGTGTCCCTCAGGGGTGGGTGTTGGAACCAGTCTTGTTTAACATCTTTGTCGCTGACATGGACAGTGGGATTGAGTGCTCCTTCAGCAAGTTTGCCGATGACACCAAGCTGTGTGGTTCAGTTGATACCCTGGAGGGAAGGAATGCCATCCAGAGGGACCACGACACGCTTGTGAGGTGGGCTGATGCCAACCTCATGAAGTTTAACCATGACAAGTGCAAGGTCCTACACCTGGGTCAGAGCAATCCCAGGCACAGCTACAGGTTGGGCAGAGAAGAGATTCAGAGCAGCCATGCAGAGAAGGACTTGGGGGTGTTGGTCGATGAGAAAATGAACATGAGCCAGCAGTGTGTGCTTGCAGCCCAGAAAGCCAACCGTATGCTGGGCTGCACCAAAAGGAGCGTGACCAGCAGGTCGAAGGAGGTGATCCTGCCCCTCTACTCTGCTCTTGTGAGACCTCACCTGGAGTATTGTGTGCAGTTCTGGTGTCAACATGAAAAGGACATGCAACTGTTGGAACAAGTCCAGAGGAGGCCACGAGGATGATCAGGGGTCTGGAGCAACTCCTGTATGAAGAGAGGCTGAGAAAGTTGGGGCTGTTCAGCCTGGAGAAGAGAAGGCTGCATGGAGACCTCATAGCAGCCTTCCAGTATCTGAAGGGGGCTATAGGGATGCTGGGGAGGGACTCTTCATTAGGGACTGCAGTGACAGGACAAGGGGTAACGGGTTAAAACTGAAACAGGGGAAGTTTATATTAGATATAAGGAAGAAGTTCTTTCCTGTGAGGGTGGTGAGGCACTGGAATGGGTTGCCTGGGGAAGTTGTGAATGCTCCATCCCTGGCGGTGTTCAAGACCAGGTTGGACGAGGCCTTGGGTGATATGGTTTAGTGTGAGGTGTCCTTGCCCATGCAGGGGGATTGGAACTAGATTATCTTAAGGTCCTTACCAACCCTACCTATTCTATGATTCTATGATTTCTTTGAAACTGGAAGGTGGATTTCTGTCTCTAAATCTGAACAGTGAATCATGCTTTTTTTCTGATAGTTAGCTGACTGCAGTTGTTGAAAATAGATCCATATGCATTCTAAACACCATTCCTATGCCTCTGTTTCAGCACAGAAAAACTAGATGTGCGCTTAGGCTATGATTTATGCCGAGAAGAACAAGAATTCCTGCTAAAAAGGAAGAGAGTGGTTGCCAGTGCCCTGAAAAGGGTGCTTCATCTGGAAAGAGATCTGCATGGACATGAGGTCTGTGAGTTGAAATCCAAGCTTGGGGTGTGGGTGTGTTCAATTAGGGTTGGCACATCTCCCCACAAAATTCGTAGTAGTTTTTTGCATGTTGATGACAACCCCATTGATGTGAATGACAGCAGAACAGAAGTTCTCATTGTGGCATACCCATATTCATCTAAAATTTCAGCTCAGCTATTCATGCCTCCATTCTTCTCAATAGGCCAAATTCTGAAGGACATAATGTACTACTTTTCAAAGCCAGAGCTTCAACAGTGTGATGCAGTGGGTCAGCAAGATATGAGGTGTTGGTACATTGTGTTAGACACAGCCTGGTCAGACAGCACAAACCAAGCAGGAAAACAAGAGTATTTGAAATTCACCTCACATAGACATTTATGAAATCATTGAAATGTCCCTTCTTTTGACTTACTTTCACAAAAAGTCAAAATTCTTTAGGGTGGAGAAAGAGCATTTTATAACAAACTCCAGCTGAAATGTTTTGTTGCCAAGATCCGGGGCAAATTTTTAAGTGAACATGATTTTCTTGCTGGAATAATATTTGTTAAATAGGTGCTGTCCAAAGAATAATTTTGTCTACTTAATATATTTTTTTTTCTGAACTTAAATCCATTCTTAATTACACTTATTGCAGTTTTTGTTATTTATAATAAAATTGTATCATTATCTGTTATTAATCATTGCAATTCCAGTTTTAAAGAAGAAGGTGGGGAAGGAAAGGTAAAATTCATTGCAGTTTCAAAATCATGCAAACTCATCCAAGCTTTGGGGTTAAGGGAACCCACTGAGTATCTGGAGGTTAATTTAAAGAAGGTACTGGTAAAGGGTGGCAGGATGTTGCTTTAATTTCATTGTCCTCCAAAGAAGTCTCCTCAGGAAATTAAAAGAGCTGTAATTAGACTTGTCCATATAGGCAAATAAGTAACTTTTTGAAGATAATACTTATGTTTTGAACAGGTCCCAGTAATAGCTGTTATGGCAACAGGCGGAGGCCTCAGAGCAATGTCAGCTATGTTTGGCCACCTCATAGCTCTCCAGAAGCTCAATCTGTTGGATTGTGTTACCTACGTCACTGGGGCTTCTGGCTCGACATGGTGTGTATAGCAAATGAGATTTGTATTTGGAATGACTCTTAGACTACATTTCTACACAGCAAGAGAGACGCACATCTTTCAAAGTCTTACATTGTTAATAAGTGAATGTAATTCCCTGGTAAAGCTATTACTGTTGACTGTCAATCATAACTTCAGTTTACGCTTGTCAGTTCTCTCTTTTGATGAAAGTGGTTGGGTCAATATAGTAATTTTCCAGAACTATCCATATAAATGGATTATTTTCCCATATTTCTGTTCTTTAGGACCCTAGCAGACCTGTATGAGCATGCTGACTGGTCACAAAAGTCTCTGGAGGGGCCACTTAAGGCAGTAAAAGAACAAGTGACAAAATGCAAGCTCAACCTTATGTCTATAGAACATCTGAAGTATTATCACAAGGAACTTGCTGAAAGAGCAAAAGCAGGACATGTGTCATCTTTTACAACTCTGTGGTCCCTTGTTCAGGAAATGTTTTTACATGAACGGGTATGTGCATGGTCCTGCCACACGTTTGGGAAATATCCAGTAATGTTCTATAGAGCTTTACATTTTGAGGGCATGACATAATGTATGGAACAAATCCAAAGTGAATCCCAGTGTGATCTATAAACTTGTAGCCAGGATTTTCCATAGTAGCTAATGGTTTGAAGATGCCTCTGTGCTAAAGGTACCCAACAGCTAGCAACTAGTAGGAAAACTTGCAGAAAGAACTGAGCAATCCCCCTGTGAAAAATCAGGTCTTTTGAAGTCTGTTTTAGTTGGACACTTAAGAGCTAGAGTAATCTGTCCTCATGTGAATATTAGTCTCAGTCTCAAGAAAGATCTGTGGGATGCAGGCAATCAAGGCACTTTGATATTAATGAAAAAGTTACTAGGAATCAAAAAAGCAACCAGGAAGGGAAGTGCAGGAACATGAAGGAAGTCTCTTATAAAAATGTGACTCAAAGATTCCTCTGGGTTGTAAAACATTTACAATCTATCTGTGTCCAGATAGATTGTATTGGTGTTTTTTGCCTTATGCTCTTCCAGAGGTTTACTGTGTTTTTTTTATCTCTTTGATTAGCCAAGAAAGTACAAACTCACAGACCAGCGCAAAGCATTGGAGCATGGACAAAACCCATTGCCTTTCTATTCAGTCCTCAATGTGAAAGAGGAAAAGTTCAGTACATTCAGATTTAGAGGTAAATATTCCTACAGTTTTTTCTGACTGTAAGTAGGGACAAAAGGGAATTTGGAGGAAGGGGTTGTGCGTGTGTGTGTAGAAGAAAAGGGGAATACATCTGTTACTTGCCCTGACTTGGTAATCACCTTTTAATAAAATGTCTTTTTTGCAAACTGCTGGATGTTGATTACAAAGAGCACATCTGCTGAATGACATCCTCAGGCACAAATAGGGCATTTCTGAAGAGCTGGGCTGAAGTTCTAGTTTTGCCACAGACATTGTGAGTGAGTGTGAGCAAATCGTTTGATCTTTTTCTGCCTCAGATCCACACCTATAAAATGGTTTTGGTGGTTCCTTAGTTTATAGAGGTGCTGTGAAACATAATTTTCACTGCCCTAAATATTACACTGATGGAAGTACGAAAATGGAGTATGATTGCTGTAACAGGTGTGATATGACACCCATTAAATGGACACAGACAACATTCAACAAAAGGTATTAAAATGAGCAGATAATGGAAAGAAAAAGAACAGTTAGTGCTTACATTGGGTTTGGTTTATAGCTACTGTTCTACTGCAATACATGAACAAGACAGCATGAGCCAGGAAAGAGCACGGCCATGCCCACACTGTGATACTTTCTAGTTCGGCTCTGATGTGTCCTCAGGCTGCTCTATTACATCATGTAGGCTGACAGGTTTGGGTTAGTAGAGGTTTAATGCCAGTCATTCCTTGCAGGCTAGATCACACTTGCATGTTGTACATTTGATGCTCTTTGTTTAGAGAGCAAGTGGGATCCCAGAATCTTTATATAGGAATCTATATACAAGCTTTTGAAGCTAATGTTAGATTCATTCTGAGGTGAAAAAGTTAGTCCTATTTGTATGCAAATTATCCCTCAGTTTTGCGTGAAACTAGACAGTGTAGTTTGCAATACAAAATTACTGACAGTTCAGAGCTGCTGAGACAAGTAAAGTCTAATGAGCCCATGGATAGCTTCATCCACAGGGGAAGGTTTTGTTTTCTATTACATTAAACATGCTATGTATCAATTCTTTTGTAGAGTGGGCAGAGTTCTCTCCTTACGAGGTGGCCATACCAAAATATGGAGCCTCGATTCCTTCAGAGTACTTTGACAGTGAGTTCTTCATGGGAAGGCGAGTGAAGAAGCTGCCAGAATCTCGGATCTGCTATCTGGAAGGTGACCTAGTAGTGCAGTATATTTAATCAGAACATGGTAGAAAGTACAGTGCTAGCTAGCCACTGGTCTGTATACAACACTCCTTGACAGCAAGTCTCCACTAGGTCTTGATTCAAGGGTCTTTTTATCCCTTTTGTACACTGCTGCTTGTTGTAAAGCTTCTTTCCTTCTGTCCTCCCTTTTAACCTGGGCAGATCTGAGCAAGTTGCAGCATGGTCCCCCTTCCCATTATCTGAACCAAACAAGAAGGTGGAGAAGGCAAGTTGTGGAAATAATAAGCCTTTCTTCCCTGATCAGTCACCAACTGTTAAACAACTTCATTTCTAGACAATGCATTGCTGAGGTAGAATTGGAAGGAACTGAAAATAAAACATAACTCATGTAGAACATGAACATGTAGAACAACCCACAAAGGTGACAACAATGAGAGCTTTGTGGGTTGAAAATGGTGTCGCTAATCTTCCCTGCCCATAAGGATGAAGGAAGTCCTTTTAACCTCCCACAACTGCTTTGACTAGCTGTTCTGCCTGTAAAAGTGAAGGAAAGGAGAAAAGTCAGAGGAATCCATCTGCCCAGGCAGATTTTAAATCCTTGCCAGAATTTTAGCTTTTGATACCAGAAACAAGGATTCAGTGGAGACAGAAACTATTTCTTACACTGTGAAGGCTGCTGGAGATTGTGTTTGTACCTCATGTGAGTATCTGGCACAGGGCTTAATGACAAAGGACAGCGCTTTCTTTTCCAAAAGCAGACTTACATGTGGAGCCAATTCTATTTTGATCCTGAACCAGATGAACTCTACAGAAACAAAACATGCCTGAAAGGAAAAAATGGGTCTTAGATCAATTTAAAGAATAAATATGTTTAAGGAGGGCTTTACACTTACACGTCTTTTCTACACTTTTAATGACTGCTTTCTTCCACAAATGCACAGTTGAAACTCTAAAACATCATTTGGGTGGCTGGTACCTCTTATTTTGTTACTCTGTACTATACAGTGGATTGTCTGTGTTGTAACAGGGTCACTTCACATAAGCCAATAATATGCAGCCTGTATCCAATAATACGGATACTTGTAATAGTATTTAACATGTGGTGGTGCAGTATTTTTCCCATGTGGTTTGACTTGCAGGTCTTTGGACAAACATCTTTACTAGGAATTTGCTGGATGGCTTGTACTGGTCCTCAAATTCAAATGAATTCTGGGAACGATGGGCCAAAGATATGGTAGATATAGGTAAGACAGAGTTTTGAAATCAGTATTTTGACCAGATAGTGCTTCCTGTTCAGGGGAGGATTAAGAAAAATACACTATTGCTGTTTGTGAGTAACATCTCACATGTTCTCCCTAAACTGCTGCATGATGTGCTGCCTCACTGTGGATCTTTCACCTGTATCAGTATGATCACTATGGGATGTTTTTATTTTATTTATTTTATTTAATTTTTTATTATAGTTTTTTTTTTTTATACTCAGATGCACACTTCATGCTATTTACAAATGTCTTTCATTTAGAATTTGCTCATGATCTACTAAATGAGAAATGCAAATGAGAAGGGTGGCTTTTACTTGTAGGCAAAAGTACAAAGCCACTGTGTCATATGAAAGGGCAAAAGACAAAACCTGTGCTTGCTTTAAACCAGACCAGATAGCTCTTTGTTTAAAGGGGTTGGTCATGTGCATATGTTTTCAAGCAAACTGCAGGGAAGGCTGGGGACTGAAGGACGGACCCACAGGAAGACAACAGGGGCAGTAGCCAGTGAAGGTGCCTGGCAGAACCCATTGCCGATGTTTTCTTCTCACAGTCCCTTCTCTATTTCAGAAAAGCATTCCCCTGAGGAAGACATCACTGTCATCAAGCCTCCTTCCTGCTTGTCAGGGAAGCTGTATGAGATGTTTCAGGACATTATGACCAAGCGTCCACTTCTGGGAAAGTCTCATAACTTCCTGAGAGGCTTAGAATTTCATAAGGATTATATCCGTCAGAGAAAGTTTATTGAATGGAAAGGTAACTGCAACAAAGAGTTAGCTGCAGTGTGCAGGTAACATCTCAGATATTTCTTTTATTATACTTTGTGAATCTCACATTTAGAGATATTTTCTCAGGGTCTGGAAATCTGCTGAGGTGGAACTATGTTCATGGTGTCTGTTTCTTAAGGGTAACAGGTTAAAATGAACTGTTCCGTGGGTCACTCTTTCACCTCCTGAAGATATCTGTAATTTATGTCAAAGCATGCTCTTCTACAGGAAGTTTGTGACTGCTTAGGTACAGTAGTCAAACGACTCAGAAACGGTAGAGTCCTTTGAGGTCAAGAAACAAAGGTAACACCTAGCAGGTTATTATGTGGATCAGATGAAGGAAAGGACAGGTTGCAAATGTGGCTGCCCATATGTGTGCTATTACTGCTGGATGATTTATCCATCCAGACACCTCTCAAACTCTTCAGAAACAGAAATACGAGGATCCAACAACAGCGAGTTAAAGCCACGTAGGTTTAAATGGCAGGTAGAATGTGTAGATTTCATGTATAAATCCAACAGCAATTTCCTATGGCCTGTGCAATGCAGGCAGGCAAAGTAAACAGCCATGACAATTTTACCTCAAAATCTATGGAGCAATCTGTGAAATGATAGCAAGGTGACAGAGCTGAGGCTTTGTGCATTAGAAACCTTCCTGCAATCCCAGCATTCCCATTTATCCCATGGGCAGGCAGCAGTGTGGGAGGACCCTCCTAGATTAACATTATCAAGGTGTGTTCTCTGCCTCCTCTGAGTCCTTCTCTTTGGTAACTTGTGTTTTCTCTCCCCCGTTTCATGCAAGTTACAACAGTTTTTGTCCCTGGCTGCCACTGCTACATGGTTTGCTGACAACGGCAAGAGATGGTGGAGCTTTTTTGTAGGTGAAGGCAGAGCCTGCAGTGTGCTAAGTGCTTTCAAAATGTTCAGTAAGCAAAAAGTCCATATTCTAAAGAGTCTGCTCTAAGAAAACAAGTGGGAGGAGAAAGCAAGTAGCATAAGAAGGGTGGGTGAGAGAAGGAGCAAGTGAGTATCTTAAGAAGGTGGATGGGGGACAAAATTGACAGTCAGTAAATGCATTAAAAAAATCACTTTCCTTACATTTTTTTTGACAAGCAATTTTGTAAAGGCAAATGGGTAGGAACATATTTCAAGCGGGATTTGGAGGAAGAGAACATAGAGAAACTGAAGCCTACTTCAGGTTAGATATTCTACAAAATAAAGTAAAAGAGGTGAAAAGCATGAAGTCTGCAGTAGGAAAAGGGAAACTGAATGTCTGGAGTAGGAAAACGTAGCAGATTTTGTATCATCTTTTGGCTATCTGCATCACGCCAATCTAAAGCCAAGTATGGATCTCTAGGAGCAGGAGGAGATGGCAGCTCAGTGAACAGAAATTACAGTCTAATGTTAGGTGAAGTCTCCAGAATATAGCTGTGCTTTAAAGCTTCCCTGCAGCTCAGGTTATCTGACGCATTAAAACAAGACTTTAAATGCCATGTGAAAAGCCTATTTTTCATGGTGAGAAATTTGAGAACTTGCAGCCTGGAATTAGTGTAATGCATTTACAGGAGGGTTCATGCTTTCAAGGGAGTTCCTGAGGCAGGACTTACTTAAAGGCCCTTTTTGGGTGTGCGATGGAAGAAGCAGCTTTCCCAATGAAACGTCTACTTCTAATTCATATATCCAGCCATGAGAAAATGCTGCACGGTTCCAGCTCTGTGATAAGAAAATGGGGGTAATGGAATTTCAACTAAAACTGTTCACCAAGCCAAATAAAAGGGCAAAGTATGCTCTGTTTCTGTGAGGGACTGCAAGCAAATGTCTCTCATCACAGCAGAATCTGTGAATTCCCAGCAGCCATGAATGCTAAAATAAGCAAATAATTTTGTGAAGACCTGACAGGGAGGGAATGGAAAAAAGATGAGTTATTACTTCAAGCTGCTGTCAAACATTCCAGGCCCTGGAACAAGCTACAGCTATTCTGCATGGTTTAAATCAACATGAAAGAGACCAAGGAGGCAGAGAGATCAGAAGGAGTGAAATGCTGGAACTTACCTGCAGTATTTTTGTGATCAACAGTTTCTTAAAATACCTAAGCACACAAGATTTAAGGCTCAAGGGCTCTGCTCTGGGCCTTGCTCCCTCGTTCCATGAACTTGAGGAATACTCTTAAACCACTATATTCGTATTTAAAACCATGGCAAAATGTTTCATATTCCATGGGATTAGAAATGGCACAGGGGAACGATAATGGACTTGCTGTCTACAGGGCAGGCTGGTGGGGTTGTGAGCAGAGGGACAGAAGTTCAGCTATGAGCAATTTATGAGTATAGGTATAAAATTACCAGTTGGTATAATCCCTTTTGTCTCCTTTTGGTGTTAACATGAGGTTTAATTAACTCAAGCAATACTTTAAACTGTTGGTAGGGGATGCTGTGATCATGATGTGGTATGTTTTTGCAGCATGGCTCAGATCATTTATGTGAAAGCAGGTTGAAGTCAGATTTCTTACCCTGTGATAGGAGTCTAATCCAGAGAACTCAAAAGCAAAAGCAGAGCAATGCAGACTGTAGTGATGTACTGTGCTTGTTAGACCTGTTGCTGCCCTCTGAAACTGTTTGTGCTGTTTTCATTGTTTTTCCCAGTTCTCAGGGGAAAAAAATAAAATCGGCCAGATTCTGTATTCTGTGAGAACTCGCTCCCCAGAGCAGCGGTGAGGCCAGCGGAGCCTGTGTCTCACCTGCGTGCCTGGCTGCCTCACAGCCTGCCTCTCACAGTGTGCTGGGGGAGTGTGGTAACAGGCCAGATGTGCTCAGACGTGCAGTTTGGAGGGAGTGCTCCTGAGGCCACGTTTGTGGGCTCGCCTTATGGGAGGTGAGCCTGGTCTTGAGGGCAACCAAGGGGCTGCCCTTAGCACAGACAGATTTACTGAATCCTCCTTTCCTACCAATGCGCCACTAACTGTATTAAAAATGTTTTTCAGACTCTGTGCTGGACGCTTTCCCTAACAACCTGACACCGCTGCAGAAATATCTTTGCCTGATAGATGTTGGCTATTTCATCAACACCAGTGGTGCAGGGCTTTTCAAGCCAGAGAGGAATGTAGATGTCATTATCTCACTTGATTATGGATTGGGGAATGTGTTCAAGGTGAGAAGAGGAGCATACTTGGTGCCTGGGGTGACATGGTTTAGTGCGATGTGTCCCTGCCCATGGCAGGGGGATTAGAACTAGACGATCTTAAGGTCCTTTCCAACCCTGACTATTCTATGATTCTGTTCTATGATTCCTTGCCGTCCTGGTAAAACTGTTTATGTATTATTAACACTTTTAAGAAAGTGGCTCTCTAAATCTTGATCATATAGTCAAGAGCAAAACAGTCACCAGATCTTGGAGGAGGAAAGAAACTTCCCCTGAGACTAGAACTATAGAAACTGTTAGGCTTTTTCCTCTATAGTGGATTGCAGCATATACTTTCTAGGATCCTCAGAGAATGCAGGAACTATTGGTTGCTGGAGATATGACCTTGATCTCTGTTGATCTGTCCTCAAGACAAGTTCTAAGCATGGCTTTTGGTCATTCCCTCTAGCTGTAAAAAACTTTAATGGGTGATAAGAAGCATCTTCCAACTTGTGATGAGTGATGACAGGATGCAGGGTTATACTATGGCTGCTTTGTACTACACATTCATTAGAGAGCGGTTTTAGGGACTGAGTTAAGTTGCCAGCCATAGTATTTCTATGATACCTCAGTAAACCCGATTCTTGTCTTAGTGTTATCTTTAAGGCAAGGACATTCTGTTTCCACAGCAATTAGAGATGACTTACAAATACTGCAAGATACAAAAAATCCCATTCCCGAAAGTGGACATAAGTAAAGAAGAAGAGATGAACCCAAAGGAATGTTACGTGTTTTCGGATGCAGAGGACCCCAGAGCACCCATAGTAATCCATTTCCCCCTGGTGAATGATACCTTTAAGGAATTCAAGGAGCCTGGTAAGTTCGGTCAGCAAAACTATCTAGTTGAGTTCAGGCCATTTGTCTTTCCAGAGCATGGATCCCAGTTGTCCTTTCTAGCAGTAATTCTAAGTGAGGGCACTGCCTTCATGTGAGTGAGACCATTCTGCCTCCTACCCATCATGGCCATACACATCTATTTGCCTGTTCCATTGGGCCCTGAAGGAGCATGCCCACTCATCTGTCAAGACAGGCTTAGGTTACTACGTTCAGCTCAAAGTATGTAAGTTTCCACCATGGCAGAGGAGGAGGTGTCAACTCTTCCTGTTAATCTAGTCATGTTAATCTTCCCACCACAACCAGGATTATGTTCCCCATTCACAGAGTGAAACTATGATGCAACAAAGATAGCTGAGCCAGGTCCCCGTCTCCACTGATAAGACTCCACGTACTGCTCAAGAAGCAGGTTAGCAAACCACAGCAGGCTCAGTGATGTTGAGTAAGACGCAGGACAGAACAAGGCTTTAAGCCACAACTCACGCGACAAGGCATATTGGAGAAGGCAGTACTTGCAATGGTAAAATGTTGGGGAAAAAGGCGAGAATTCTTCCTCAGCCCAGAAGACACTGGGAACGTCTGACAGCTGCTTCTTCCCTCACTCTCCCCCTATTATGTTAAGACCTATCAGTAGGCAAGCAGGCTGGGCACTAGTTGCTTCTCCCATGCAGTTGGGTTGGTTCTGTGTGGAGGTCCAGCAGGCCCTGGGCAGGAGGGTTTGCCTTCTGATGTTGTCTTTGCATGCAGGCATGAAGCAGCAAAGGCCATATTAGTACAAGAGAAGGGTCAGCATAGACTAGGTTTTCCAACAGCTTATGGGATACTCTGCAGAAATCAGGCAGTATCTTCTTACTGCTTTTGCTGTCTGACTTCCTTAACCTGAGACCTTCCTCCATGCTGGAGCTTTTACAGCAATGAACCTTGAAGTATCTCACACACTGCTTTTTGAGCTTCTACTTCCCCTCACTCAGCACACCAGACAGAGCATTAGCTCTCCTTCCAGATTTGCCCCAAATTATACTGTGGTACTGGGTGGGACCGCAGCAAAATGGATATTTCTGAGGGAAAATCTGGAGAAGGTTATAAACAACAGGAAAGGAGGTCAAGTAAAGCTCATTTTCTTTTATGAAGTTCACCAGTGTTTAGAGAGTATGTGCAGTAGGAGATACACCAATAAAATCACATTTAGAAACTGGATGAACAGAGGAGGTACCCAGTAAAAGGAGCTAGGCTTGTTCAGTAGAGGCTGGAGATGGTCCAAATGGCAATACACAGTGAGACACATCCACTGAGCAGTGACTACCAGGTAAAAAGGGTGTTTTACATTGTCTCTGAATGAAAGATGGATGAGATTATGCAGAGCAAAGCAGCTGCTGCAGCTTCTCAGCGCTTCAGGACCAAATTGATGAGCTGCGATGCTCACCTGCATGTGTCTGAGCAGCCGCTGATTCCTCAGTCAAGCTGACAGCCTGCAACTGATGTGGGTGGCTGGGGAGGGAGGTCCTTGGCAAGCTGCTTGTGTGGATTTCAAGTTTAACAGTGAAGCTTTTCATTTCTAGATGGCTGAGAGACACCTTGTGGAATGTGGGTACTTATTTATCTTGCTTTTAACTGTTTAAACTCTAGAAAACCGAATCAGCTTGTGAAGTGCCCATTCACATTGCAATTACACTGTGATTTTGTGTGCTTGAGGCAGATGCAGCTGTATCTGGGTGTGGATAGCACAGACAATATGTCTCTGAGTATTGGGAGGCTCGGTGAAGAAAACTTTGGACATTTCTAATCCAGCAACCTCTAGCAACAGCCTGTGCCCAGCACCCTCAGATCACACTGTCTAGAAACTGCTAGGTTAGACTAAAACCTGCTACGTCTCAAGCAAAATTCATGTGTCATTTTCATGCGGTTCTGGTAGACATTATAAGGAATGGCTCAGCAGTCTGTTTGCAGCCCTGCTGACAGTTAATCACAATACATTTGTGATTTGGGTGTATTTGTTTCAGACTGCAAAGAGACAAAGAAAAAACGTAACTCTAAACATTTTATAGAGGCATAAATCAGAGTCTGAAGTCCCTGGTGGAGGTAATTAGGGTGTCTGTAAGTGAAAAATTGACCTAACAGAAGGGGTGGATATTGGCAGTATCCAAGATATATGCCAGGTGTGTGGATTGTCTGAGAGTCATGGGGTTTGGGAAAAGATCTGGACCCAGGGGCACGCTGCCCAGGAATGACTGTCTGGGAATGACTGTCTGCAGGGGCAGGACAAGGGGGAAGGTAATGATTCCTGCCAGCCCTGCTGAGGGATTTCCAGGTCTGAGCTTTAGCAGGAGGGGCAAGGAAGAGCAGCTGGAAAAGCTGAGCAGGACTGGCTCTTCCAGGCTGTGGAGGGGTGCGGTCTTTCCTGGAGGCTGTTTTTAATGTCAGGTTCTGCCAAGTAGATCAATCTCCTCCAATACCATGTGTTTTGTGCTCCAGACTGATCTCACTGTGGTGGCTTTTGTCTTTCCCTGCAGGGGTAAAGCGCTCTCTCTCAGAGATGGAGGAAGGCAAAGTGAATCTGAATAACAGCTGCTCACCCTATTACCTCATTAGGCTAATCTACTCCTCTGAAAACTTTGACAAGCTTGTGAACCTGAGCACCTACAACATCCTCAATAACAAAGACCTGCTCCTCCAGACAATCCGGAGTGCTGTAGAACGGAGGAGAAGCAGCAGGACTTGGAATCTCCCCAGCTACTCTAGAGCTGGATACCGCTAGGCTGGGTTTTTGCACTGTTCCCCACTGAAGGCTACAACAGTCACACTACAACACATCACAGTCACATTACAACATGTCATAGTCACATTACAACACATCACAGTGTTCATTATTTGCAAGAAACTGAGGAAACCTGTACATTTCTCATCTTGCCTTGTTCAAGTTCCTGGCTTTCAAAGGGGTTTATTTAGGCTCCTTCCCCCAAGCTTTCAGACCACAGGAGCTTCACACTGTGGTCTTACTTGTTAAGAGATGAGGGTCCTGGTTAGCAGAGATCTTCCAGGATCTCCCTGATGTTATAGATATGGTGGTGGTGATAGTGATAGTTCTTAAGAGCCTGTCACCTCAATCCTGAGCCTATTGTCGGTGTCTTTTCAATGCTTGGTTACAAAGCAAGTCCTGGCCATTTGCATTCAGTGATGTCCAGATTTTCAGACGGGCTGAGCAACTAGAATTTGCACTGAATTGGTGGGCTCAGCTTTGAAGTCAGGCCAAAGAGTCATATTTATCTGTGAACAACGGCCAAACTGCAACGTGAGCAATTGCATCCTGTCTGGCCGATTACCTTTGCTGATTTAGAAATTATTCCTTTTTTCCATTCCTCTGCAAGAGCTTGGCACAGAAACACTGCTCCAGACTGCCATGAGGGGGGCAGTTACATTTCAAGGAGAGAGGACATTACCTACAGAGAGTGAGTACGGTGCTTTTGAGCATTGGCTGGAGGAAAAATTCCGCACAAGGCACAAGTGATTATATTAATTTATATGGGTAGTGCCTTTATGCATCAGAATGTCAAAAGCCTGAAACAAGCTTTTGATACCAGAAATTCAAGGGGAGTTATTATCATAGACTCAAGTACAGTTAATTTAATAAAACATAAGCTAGTGCTTCTTATGTATGTCAACTGAATGTAGGATAACATAACTCACAGAGTGCACAGCCATTGTATTTTCACACCCAGAAGATTTTTTCCTGTTACAGTCTTCTACCCCTAACATCATAGGCAAGGTATTTTTAATAGGTGCTACACTAAAATAGAGCACAAATAAGGAAAAGGAAATTCTTTATCACACCTTTTTGCTGGAGGAAAATGTTTGGAAAAATGACACCTGGTTTTCATTTGCTTTGGAGCGCAATGAGAGATTTTGCATTGAACTAGGAGCCTGGAACATCTTAATAGCCCTCCAGAATCTGAAAGGAAAGGATGCTGAGCAGCATAAAACAGCTCCACAGAAGTCAAGGAAGTTTCCAGACTTCCTAGCACTGAAGGATTTAGACCTGTTTCTGGCTTATTTAATCCAAACACAGCATATTCATTGGGATCTCCAAGGAAAATCTTATACATTTCTTCTCTGTTGGAAATTTACTTCATATCTAGAATTGGTTTTGTTGAAATCCAAAATTAGACCAAGAAAGAGAAATGGAGCCCTGCCTTTTTGGTATATGTAGGCAGTATTCAAGCTCTGAGGGAGAGCATTTATGAAAGGCTTCATTGACTGAACCCTGCATCTACTAAACGCTGCTTCTGCTGCAAGCAATGTCAATGAATATGTCCCAGCAAGATTCTTTGTGCAATGCTTATTTACTAAGGAATACTATGTGGAACCTGAGGAGTCTTAACAGCTGGAATGCAACTGGACAACTGAATTCAGGCCATAAGAACTAATTGGATACTGTCTGCAAGAGAATAGTAGCCATTTTGAGTTGAAAGATGAGATGGCAGCAGGCAGCTATCTCAGGAGAGACAATCCTACGGGCAGGATCTGTTACCTTCCTGTAGGAGAGCAGTACATTCTGACACAGTATGCTGTGATGCAGATAGATGCACATGTGGCTGTGTGCACTGTTTCCATGCTCCCCTGGCTGGTCCTACAAAGAAACCTCTTCCTACAATCTACTTGCACAGAACAAAACCTGATTCCAGCTTGACTGTGGAGAGGCTGCGCGCTCCCATGTCCTGTGACCTGGTATACCTTGATTCACCCAGGCTTCAGCACTTGGCCTCACAGCCAGTTGATGCTTGACCACTGCTCACTTTGGCCAGGAGGCGAACAGAAAGGATGGACTCTTCTTAGTGAGTAATACCGCTGTGCTGCCCGCCTCCATGCCCTCACTGTGATGGTGCGCTTGGGGAACCAAGTTATTGCTTGCATCTTCCAGCATCATGGTATTACACAGAAGGTGCAAAGGGCTGAACAGCTTGTGGGGTGTCCCAGCAACAGCAGCTTTTCTGCTGCAGTGGTTAAAGAACTCAGTTCAGTCAGGGACACTGGCACTCTCCACAATAGACTGCTATTTCTTTTGACACTAAACCAGTATCTAGCTAGGAACAAGACCACCAATGGTGTTATGTGATTGCCTTTAATTTATGCATCCATCCATATTGTAGATAGGAACGCCATTTTACCTCATCTGCCTAATAACTGGGGCATGTCTGGTGCATTCGTAATGCTGCTAATGCAAACAGAAATGTTCATTAAAATGTGAAAGAGCCAAAACCCCCACAGGGTTCTCAGGTAATCCCCACCCAGTGGCGAGTAACTTATCTAAAGGACTGTTAAACCCTGTTGTAGAGTGAAGGAGGTAGCTGTGGGTAGGGAAGGGAGTGTGAAGGTGGTGTGATCTCCCCTTGCCAGGAAAACTGTCACCCAAGGTTGTGCCAATACTTAAAGTAAGGCCAGGGACTGCTGCAATCTTGCAGCCCAGAGGCACAGACAAGCACGTGCCCCTTGATCTCCTTGGAGCCCCATGTGGTACCCCTGTAGCCTTAACCAACAATAGTTTTTAAAAACATACTTTTGCATTTCAGGCACTGAAATGATGTGAGGGCAGTATCATTGCCCTTCACAGTGGGTTTTGATTGGCTGTTTGGTTGTTTTGGTTGCTTTTGTAGCATGACATTGAAGGAGCATGTTGCTGGCCTGATGGTGTGAGGGCAAAGGCTGCTGGGGGACTCTGCAGGGCGGAGGGACCCACATCTGGCACAGTCTTCTCCATGCAGGTTGGTGGGAAGACGTGGCTGGCACATGCTGCCTCCCAAAGCACACTTGGGCTCTGCGTTAGAACATGCTGATTTGCACAGCATGGAACCCACAGAACTATTGAGCAGAGCTGCAGTGATGTACAGTGGATCAGTGACCTGCGGTCAGGTCAGCTCCTTGGTCTTCTTTCCTTTAAGGTGTGCATGGAGTTTAAGGGAATGGACCACTGAAACGTCTTTGTTCCCCAAAGGTTTTGTGTTTGTTCCTTGACCCTGTCTTGCCTGGCCTTGTGCTACATGCTGTTGAATGGCTGTTTGAGTGGAGTGCATGAAAACCAGAGTAGTCACTGCAAGGAGAAAGCTGTCTCTCTGCCTCTCACTGTACAAAAGTGTATGTGAAAAGGCACATGGCATGCTTAGAAACTCGGCCTTGCTGTTCTGGTGTTATGTTTGCTTAACCATTAGAGATGAATGCATGTGTGTGAAATCCTCATCCAAAATGCATCCCAGATCACTGCTTTGAGATGAACATTTTGTTGGAACACACCCCCCCCCAGATACAGAGCTTGCTATCTGCTGCCAAACACAAAGGAAAGAGAAGTTTGTTCTTGTAACTCTTAGCTACTCATTATAGTAATAGCTTGTTTGTGTCTTTGAACTATTCAGTAATATAATAATCAAAAATAAAACATTGCAAAGGAGCACCAGACCCATGAAAGTCTTTATGTACCTGAACACGAGACTACATCTTTGCTGGTTATGTTAGCACTATTTATGCTAGATGCCTGCTGAGCACTTTGTAGGGCATTGACTGGTTTCAAGAATAGGTGGAAAAATCAAAGAGAAGATATTCTGTTTTACAAATGCATTGAGAGCTTGGAAATAAGTGTGGAACAAACTCTACCTCCTGCAGTAAAACCCTCTTCAATGGAATGGCACTAAGGATGGCAGGATAGCAGCTGTACTGAGCCACAGCCAAGGCACAGCTTTATTTTCCTCTTTGTGAGTTCATTTAAATGTATACAGAAGTCTGCCTTTCACTGAACTTTACTGTAATGAATTGAATGGTGAGTTTAAAATACCTAAGTTTGAAAAAAAGAAAGTTTTTATTTTTGTGTAAAAGCAGTTAGAAGCAATAAAGGAAAATGCACCAGTTTCCCATCACTTTGCTGTATTCTTTGTGACAGGCAACGGCTCCAGCAGAGATGCAGCAGATGAGACTAGATCCAATGATTAGATCACCTTGTTGGATGTGAGTGACTGATCTGAGTCAGCCTGAACACAAACCTAAACTCTGGATGTTGCATGTACCCTTAAAGTATTTACATACACTTGGTGTTACGCACTTCCCTCCCACTGGAAAATGCAGAGAAGACTGCAAACAAAGAGTTACGTTTGGCTGAAAATGGGCCAAGGCTGAAGTCCTTGTCCAAGCAGTTAAGGACTTGAAGCGTTAGGCTCCACTTGTCGGGATGAGCCCCCAGTCACTACACTGGCCTGGTGAAATGCCATTCCTCCCCAGCTCCATGCTAGCAAACTTTTCTTTGGCTCAGAGACAAGTAGGGGAAAAAAAGGATATTATTCCTCATGTTTGCAGCACACCTTAACAAATTGTGCCTAAGATCCAAATGCTTGCATCAGTAGATAGGTATGTAAGCACAAATAGGTCTAACCAGCTTCCACCCCATGGCTTCATCTGATCACTCCTTTGTTAGCCTCAGGAGCCTGGGCTACGTCTGGCATGGCAGGACTTGAGTCTGTGTCTTAGGTGAACAATCTCACTGTCATGTCACTTTCAGGTGCTCCAGGAGGCTCTCTATGTCCCTTTTGGCTCAGCTCTGCTTCATCCCAGCTGGTGAAAAAAGCCATTTCAGAATCACAGCTGAAACTTGCTCTATAAGCCCATGGCAGGGGGATGGACCACCAGATGTGAGTGTGTTTAGTCTTGGCACAAAAACACATGCTCAGCTTTAATTGCATGCCTGCTGGTTGCCTACATTATTATACCTCTCAGGTAGAAGGATTTAAAGTACGTGAAGACAATCCCATCTGAATGCTCTTGCCTACCTAGGCTAAGGCACAGTAAAATACAAAGCCAGCAGCAGCTGTGTGCTGAATGCTTTTCTTCCAGGGTTGGACTTCTTCCTGGCAGTCACTCTGCTCGAGGGGAAAAGCTACATTTCTAACCCCACTCTAATTACCAGGTTCTCCCCTCTTGAAGAAAAAGGAGGCTTTCCACAGCTGCTAAAGGTTGCCAGGTACAGCATGCTGCTAATGCACCATTCAGACAGGAGCACTGAAGAGAAAAATGACCTAGGGCAGCCCTGGTGTGCAGACAGCTTGGTTTTGTGGTGGCAAAAGGGAAGGAAAGAAAGACTCACATACCTTTCAGGTCAAACCCCTCAATTTCCCAAAACAACCAAACCTGTCTGACCTGCAGGGTACAAACAATCCTGCTAAATCGGCCCTATCAGCATTTTCAGCTGGTTTGGGTGCTGAGCTGTGCTGTGACTGATGCTAGTGATGTGCCCCAGGGCTGACCCATGTCTGGTGGAGTCCTCCAGGGACATGGACGGGCCAGGCCTGGGCAGCACGTAGGGCATTGGGTGGTGAGCAGAGCTTGCTGCTGTACTTGTAGAGCTTGCTTTGGGAAGTAGGAAAGCTTAAGGCTCATAAAAGTGCTCTGGAGCAAAAATAATACTCATAAACATGGAATTGTATTAGACACCTAGGGTTTTCTTTTGGGTTATGGGAAGGAGGGACTTGCTTGCTTGGCATCTCTCTGAGTTTCTTCATTTCACTTGCTCAGAGTACTTGGAAGAACAAAACCTGTATCTCCTGGCTTTCACCTTCCAGAACAACGTTACCATGAATTGCCTTTCTGTAGGAACCCAGGACTGGAGCGATGATGTATATCTAACCTGGATTTCCCTGCTGGAAACTTCTAAAAGACATTTAACCCATTTCACCTCTATGACTCCCTGTATTTAAGCACGCAACGGTTTTCCTAAAGCCTTAGAACAATTTACTGTTTTATATCAGAGGAGAGAGGAGCAGTCTTCCCTCCCAGAAACAGCATAGAGCTTCATGCTATAGTCCTGCTGTGGAAGAGTTTAGGTACGTGGCCAGGACTCTTAATGCTAATGCCAATATAGTCTATTCAGGCAGTAAGATACTTTGGGCAAGGATTTTGGGTATCTATTTGCTTCAAGCATTCACAACTGATTAATTGATATGAGTACTACGAGTAACATAGAACTGTAACTGTATGTAATGACAAATTGCCAGTGTGACAAATCCAGGGAGAACCTCAAAAGACCCACGGGCATATGGAAGCAGCAGTTGCAATAATGGTAATGACATTGTTAACAGAAAATATAAACCACATTCCTGGGATATAAACCAGTTCCTGAAGTTAAAAAGAGTTATTTGCAGGAGGGAGGAGGAAAGAATTAAGTATCCGAACACAGAGCACAACCAGGTTAAGACTGGAAAGCCAAACTGAGCTCTGCCTGAGATACAACTACATGACATTGGTTCAGTTTGCTCCTAGCTGATTCCTGACAGCCAGTAGTGGCAGGAGATAAACAGATAGTCAAACTAAGCCTGGTACTTTTATCTTTGAGTGCACTAGCCTCTTCTTGCTGCTGGGTGTTGAGGGAGGCTCTACTGTTGCTATAGAGCGCAGTGTGTACCTTCTCCCAGCACTGTTAATGCTTTTGCTGGGAAAGGTCCTCTGGGCTAAACAGTGTTGAAATGCCTCCCATGCACCCCAGCTGCAGAGCCATGCTTTCAGCAGTTGGTGGTTATTAGAGTCTTATTGAGCAATGGTAGCTTATGCCTT